GGTCTTTTCCAACCTAAACGATTCTATGATTCTATGTTTCCCAACGTTTTCCTTGTTTTCCATTCGCTTCAAGTATTAATCACTGCACCCCCATCTTTGCGTTCCTATCTTTGTCAGGATTCCCTTGTTACCCTTCTTAGTGTGCTTATCTTTTTCGAAATCAGTCATGTTTACACAGTAGGAACATCAAGTATCTGAAATGGTAGCTGTTGGTAGGTTATCCAGCTGCCTTTTCTGACTTGCTGCTAAACACTCAGAGTTCAAAGGCTTCTTTATATTTACCATTTATATGATATGTTTGGATGAATGAAAGCTGTATATTGAACTGGCTGGTAAATTTAGCAATACTAACAACAATAAGAAAAAGTCTTTTACCTTTTATTGTAGTCTAGAATTCCACCCACGAATGATTTCAAAGTTGGTATGAAACTGGAAGCCCACGATCCTCGCAATGTTACCTCGGTTTGTATAGCTACAGTAATTGGAATCACTGGTGCCAGGCTAAGGTTGCGGCTGGATGGAAGTGACAACAAAAATGATTTTTGGAGGCTTGTGGATTCCTCAGATATACAGCCCATCGGGACCTGCGAAAAGAAAGGGGGCATGCTCCAGCCTCCACTTGGTAAGAAACAAAGCTTCTGAACTAATGTGTGTGGAGTATTGCTTTCACGAAGTCAATTTTACCTTTTTGTCTTGGCAAATTCAATTGTACTAACATTTCACCAAACCATTATTCAATTGAAAAAGAGGTAAGCAAACTAATTCAGGGTAAGTGAATTGTGGCTTTTTCTTCTTTTTGGATTCTTTTGACATAAGAATAAGCAGAATAATTAGTTTGAGTTCTGTTTTGTTTTGTTTTTACATAGTCCCTTAATATTAAATGGGAGTGTCTGACAGCTTTCTTAATGATGAGATACACTGTCACGCGCCCATTCTATAAATGTTCCCTCATATACACCCTGTCGTATGAGTGTGTATGGATACGATGTTTTCTTGTTTGATGCTGTGCGCTCTCCTTTTAGTAGACCTTGGTAAGAACTGGGGGAAGCTGACTTGCCTTGTTTCCTCGTCAGTAAATCAGAGCAGCCCAGCAGAAGGCGCTCGCTGTTAACCGAGCCGTGAAACGCTCAGCAGGGCTGTAAGAGGTGCATCAGTTCAGGACACTCTGAATGTTTGCTTGAGCACTGAGCAAATCGGTCGTGGTCTGGGGAAGGCACCATAAGGTGGGTTAACGGTGGTATTGCAGCCTTCTGCTCTGAGGTAGGAAAAATAGCACTCCAGAGCTTTAGCAAGCTGCAAGCTTATACTTCATGTGATTCTCATCTCAAATCGATCCATGTTGGGGGACGTCTGATGAGTTTGTCATGACTGGTTTTTGAGCATGACAAATGCTCATGAACAAGGTGTAGCTTTCCTGTGCTTAGAGATAGTATGCAGAATTTCTTTTGCCTTCCATGAGCAGTATGGGTGACAACATTTTGTGTCTCCTCAAACTGAGAAATAGTGCTTAGGCTCAGTCTTACTGAGGAATTTTATTAAAGGGGGAACTGTACAAAGGAATTCCTTGCTATATGATGAGTAGTCAGAGGGAACTTTGACTAACTACTAGAGTAATGAAGTGTGGTATCACCTTACTTTGCTGTGATTAACCTGTATATTTACATCTGCATTCTGATACCATGTTTCTTATAGCTTAAACTTCTAGGTGTGGAAACCTTTAAAGAAACAACATTTTTCATGTCGTTCTGAAAATAGCTCTGCTTTTAAAACAGAGGAAAAATAATGACCAAAAATTATCTTAACCCTCCCACCCCCAAATCCCCCACAACAGCAACACCCCCTCCCCTGTTATCCTGTTATCTTCTGTAATTTTTAGAAGATACAACAAATAGAGTTTTTAATATCAGAAATGAACTGTAAGTAGAAAGTGGTTACTGCTGGTTTCCCATCTTATTGTTATGAACCTACTTCTGGTTTGGTGTCATCAGTAACTCTTACAGATTCTCATCAGAGGTTTAGTGAAGGTAGGTATGCTTTCTCTTAGTAGCCTCTTAAAAAAAACTTGTTATAGAATCATTTAGGTTGGAAAAGACCTTTAAGAACATCCAGTCCAACCATTAACCTAACATTACGAAGTCCACCACTAAACCAATTAATCCCAATTTGTTAACAACTTTCATTTCTGCTTGAAAGGTGAAGTGAAAAGTGTCATTTCACTCAGTATGAAGCTTGGTTTGCTTGTAGAGAAGCAGACACAGGAGCAGTTGACATAACCATTAAGACACTTCACATAGATTATAAGGGTAGATTTTTGTGCTGTTGTGGTGCTTAAGAAATACAAGAAAAGCAGTGCAACTGGGCTGCCAGTCTAGAAGACTTGGGATAGATAGATACAGTCTGAGCCCAGAAGGGCTCTTTTTCCTTCTTCCCTGTGGATATATAGAGGTTTTGAGTGAAAGCATTGGAAATTCTTGACACCTGGGTAAAAATATTCTAATATTTTTTTTGAGAAGTTACTTAGATTAACCTCTCTGAAGTTCTTGATGTAACCTTGTAGAATGAATGCAGTGATACCAGTATGAAAGAGGGTTGTAATAGAGAAAGAGTATACCTATTCCTTCAGCTACACATATGCCCAGTGTTAAATATATGGCTTCAGTTCAGGAGCATAGTGCTTTTTAAAATGTATTTCTAAACCAGCCTGATGAATAAAACAACTCTGTTTATGTATAATGGGGGCAGTCAATCCATTAAGAGGAGAGAATTTCCACAGTCATCAGTAGAAAGGTTGATGCCATCTCTTTGGACACTGTTTGTTACTCCTATTCCGTCAGGCCGCTTGTAGCGCAGCACCTAACAAGCAGCTGTTTCCCTGCACCCCGGCATGTAAGTTTACCTGCCCTCTGAACAATTACTGGTTATTCAGAAAAGAATGCGAGTGCCATTATTTTGTCCCTCTTGCCCTAGATTTTTCTAGAGATAGGCTAAATTCCAGCAATCAAACATTCTGGCATACCTAGGTAAATTTTTGAAAAAGCCTTTTTGGCAGTTTTACAGCATCCTGCTCCTGGGCAAAGCTGGGAGCTAATTGGGTGTATGATTACCTCCTGTTAGACATTTAAGCAACTGATTATTTGTTTTTCTGAGTAGTGGGGAACCTTCTAGATACTAATGTTCTGCTTCTATCATAATAACTAGCTAAAATAGTCCCTCTCACCTGATTTTTACGTAGGTTTAATTACGTGTTACATAAGGATTTTGAGGAAGTGATTAATGTAGCAAAGGGTTCCTGTTCCAGCCTCTGTTTTTCATAGGTGAGCTTTTTTGTTGTTGAGAGTTTAATGTTCTCAACAAATTATGCTGAGGATAACATTTTCTCTGGTTTTACCAGGATGACTTAGAGGCCAAATTAAGTTAATTAAAACTGTTGTTTAGTTGTCGTTCCTCTGTCTTACATATATGTCTTTTCTGGGCTAGCTGCTTAGGAATATTGTGTTTCAGTAACCACATCTGTTTAGGTTGTATAAAGACTCTGGTATCAAACCAGGACTGATAATGAGCTCAGCAGTCCTCAAATTATGATACCATTTATCAAATATGAGCTTTATATTCATTTAGGTGTTGCATAGGTAGTTCCAACTTGAAGACTGTTTATTCAACTGAAGATACCTTAAAGCTACTAGTTAAGGAACGATTATAGCATATAACCCAATTTTAGATGACTTATTGATTTAACTGATCAAGAATTACAGACATGTTCTATCTTTCCAGTTACTTTTTTTTTTTTTTTTTAAGAGAATTGTCGAGGCTCAGTTACGAGGGAACTCATCAGTTCCTGGCAGATTCTGGTACTGTTTGCTTTGTGGAAAAATTTCCAATTTGCTCTATTATGTCTGTTTTTCTGTAGAGCTGTGCCAGACTTATAACTAAAGACGCAGAAAAAATGTCCACTATGTCTGTTATCTTACTCATTACTTTGAAACATCCATTTGGATAGCACAGAAAGCAAAAGGGAGTTTTTTTTTGTTTTGTCTTGTTTTTTTAACTGAAAGTGGTTGATTCTGAGGGAAGATTATCTGGAATGAGAATGTTTTCAGCCAAACCTTTGTTCTGCTTGAATAAGGTAGTGCATCTAAGCAAATTTGATTATTGTTTGTGCTTTTTATTCACTTGTTAATGAAGAATATTAAAGTAGAAACTACTTCCAGTTTATGTTTTCCAATATGATACATGCATTTGTTAAAACAATTGTATTTTTGTTCTTCCCTGTTATATGTTCTTTGCTTTTTAAAGCTATTTATTTAAATGGGGAACGGAGAAGAAACTGATTGTTCTTTTTTTTTTTTTTTTTTTTTCCCCCCAATCTGTGGTCTGGTGAAAGAATTACAAGAGTCTCAAAAATAAAAAGGTATCTCCTCAATAAATGAGAGAAGCTGGAGTGGAGAATGTTGTTTTAGAATGAGAGGAAAAAGCAGGCCTGAAAAGTAAGCTAGACGCTTGTGCTGGGGAAGTTCCACTGGACCCGGTACTGTGTGGGACAACCGTACGATCTCCTGTACTAGAACTTGCATGTCGTTAAGTCCTAGATGTTTATCTGTAATATCACAGATCATGATGAGTGATTCTGCAGGCAAGTCACTCAGAATAGAAAGGCATTGCATGGCTTTCTGCACCAACGGCAACCCTGCTTGTTCCTTCTTGGCTACTTTTATTTTGGCCAAGTCCAAAACAGAGGGGATGAGGCATTAGTAAAACAGACTTTATGTCCTTCTCATCCTATTTTATTTTACAAACTGAAAGTAGGGTTGGTTGTTTGTTTGTTACTCAGGGTTCCAGATGAATGCGTCGTCTTGGCCAATGTTTCTTTTAAGAACTCTCAATGGAGCTGAAATGGCACCCACAGCATTCTTTAAGAAGGTAAGAAGAAAGGAACTGCTAGTAAACAGCTTTGGTTGTTTGGTCCATGGTTACATTTTTTTTAACAAGGATACCAAGATAGTACCCTGTTGTCTGCAGCATGGGAAGGCAAGACTATTATTTAAAATGGCTTTGAACTGGATTGGCAAGCTACAAAACTAGCCAGGAAGCGATCCGCTTCTAGGCCATTGAGATGGGCATCTCTTTTCCTGAGTTGAGACTTTAAAATATGGTGTGTTATTTAGAAAAATTGTGTTAGCTCATTTTTTATGTCTCAGGGATTTAAGATACAATGCATATCACATTTCTTAACAGCACCATATTCATGAGGTTATGCACAGGAGTAAAAAAAATTAATGGGGAATAACAGCCATTGGAATACAGCGGTGCTTGGAAAGATTTTGTTAAATGTTTTCATTGGGCACATACTCATCATTTAAAATGTAGTGAGAAAGTAGTGGAAAATAGCAGAAAAAGCTGTTCACTTTTTTGAACATGACTCAAGTAAGTTACTGTGAAACATGAACAATTATATAAAAACAACAGTAATATTAAAATGACTTGTTGGCTCAATTTTTTGTCGAGGTGGTAAAAACCTGCTGTCACATTGAGTGACTTCATTTTTGATACTGAGAGTGACATTGACAAGTATGTCAGCAAATCAAACAGTTGGGTCCAGACATGCAATCACATTGCTTGTGTGTTAACTTTATATAATCATATAATTTTTTTATATAAGATTATATAAATTTTCTGAGGCATGATGAGCCGCGCTTCCCTGTGCTAGTAGACTAGCACATCTGAGATGGCTTTTGGATAATGAGGTTCCTGAGGCTGAGGTGGTAATTCAGTTTCCACTGGGTCACAACTCCTGCTGTGGGGTACACTTATGCTGGTCACATTGACTTGATTTTTGTTTTTCTTTTGTCCACTTGGAATTGGTCTAAGGCCAACTCAGTTAACAGAAGACTATAAATAATGTCCAATGCTAATGAATTTTTCATGGATTAATTGGGAGGTGAAGCTTTTACCAGACAGTTATCAGTCCCCAGAAATATCCATTCCCTGCAAACCTCCCCTTCTTTATTAGCATGTAATAATTTCATTTTAGTGTCTTCGCTGTCTTGCTGCCCAGACATAATGTATTGGGTGCAACCTATTGCTTATGTAAATACTTTTAGCAGGGTCTTTCTGTCATGGAGAATTTTGCTAATTATCCCAGCTGTGTTTGTGAGAACAGAATCTAGATTTTTATAATACAGAAGAGAAAAAGCAAATTTGAAATATAAGTTTCCTTGAATGTCTACTATAACTTTTTGAGAGTAGTGAGTATAAGAAGTAAGGATGTTGAGGAAAAATAGAAGTTTTTCTTTTTTTTTTTTCTTTTTTTTATTTTTCAAAAGGCCATAGAAATACAAATATTCTACGACTCTTACTTTTGTAGGAACCACCAAAACCTGTGCCAAACTGCTTTAAAGTTGGGATGAAACTTGAAGCTATAGATAGAAAGAACCCATACTTGATTTGCCCAGCGACCATTGGAGATGTTAAAGGAGATGAAGTTTTTGTTACATTTGATGGCTGGAGAGGAGCATTTGACTATTGGTGCAGATGTGATTCTCGAGATATTTTCCCAGTCGGATGGTGTAGCTTGACAGGAGATGCATTACAACCACCAGGGAACAATGGTAAGATGACTAATAATATTGCTTAATTATTTTTCCCCTCAATTACTGCAGAATTTGAAAAACCAGCTGGCTGTATGCAGATAAGACTGAAGATGTGATTTGTGAGTAGCTGATGAGGATGAAATGTTGTTAAATTTTCTTTATGTAGTTTAAAGCTAATAGCATAGTTTCTGGGAAACAATTTTTGTCTGCTCATAGTAACTCTGGGAACGTTTTATTTAATACTGTTAGGAGGGCTTTTGATAATCTTTAATTTTTGTGTGCTTGTGAAGAATCTTGGACTTAAACTAGATTTGCTGTTTGTATTATAGATAGTTAAATGTTCCTGTTTAATGATAGTAATATATTGGCTGCAGCAGCACTTTATATTAAGCTAACTGCTAAGAAAGTAGTCTTTGCTTCTGTGATGATTGAAGGTTTAAACTATATCTTTAGTGTTTCTTCCTTCATACTCACAAAATTCTGTCTTGAAGCTGCCTATTCTGAATGCTTTATCATCCTCATGCCTTTAAGGATGTTTGTACTTAGGGTTATAGAGTCCTTTTAACTAATGGTCACTGTGCTTTATAATGTACAGTTATCTACCTTAGAAAGAAGGAAAATGGAATAAAGAGGGGTATCCCTGAATGTAATCCCGCTGCTACTCTGGGGACCTCTTGTCATGTTTCTGTAGTGTAAGGCTGTTCTGTCAGACTGTTGGGGCTCTTCTATCCTCACTGCCTTCAAATTTGACAGGAACAGAGGTTTTTAAAGAGGGGAACCATATTTTAATGAATTACTTTAATATTGTTGACCAGAATAATTTGTTTTCATGGTGAGCATTTTCACAGCTGGCGTTAGGTGAGTAAGGAACAAGTAGACCAGTATCACAGAGCTGTCACTGGAAGTACCAAAGGAACAGAAGCAAGAAGACAAGAAATCAGTCATGTTTCCCGCTCTCTCCATCCCCATTGTTTTTCTCAATCTTTTGCCAGCAGGTCAAGAACCATATGGAAAATCTAACTGAAGTTAGCTGAGGGTACCTCTGCATCCTTGCCCTCACCTGCCTGTCTGTAGTTACTATCTGCAGTTACTGCCAATGGTCATGGTACCTGTAATCTAATTTAGTCCATTTTGGTGGATTTCAGCAAGGGAGCAGCTATGTGTGTAGCTGTACTGGCAGATCCAGGATGATCTGCCAGTACAAACCTGCATTGGGAAGGCAGGGGGAAGTCAGGTGAGGACAATCTACGTTCAATCAGAAGTCATCTAATAGGTACCAAGCTGACCTCAGTCTTAATGTTTCTGTGCTCCCAATCTGTAAAGTGTCTTTCTCAGCTTCTTCAGAAGGTTGACCTTGTCTTGAGAAATCATGAATGAGATGTGTTATTATGGTAAGTTAATTACATTAATTGTGGTGAAATAAAATGGCTTTATACAAAAGGGGATGTGTAAATAAGTGGTGTAAAACTTTTAGAAGATATTTTTGTGACAGTTTAGATTGCTGAGTCCAATGACATGTTCTGGAAAGAAGTATTATTAAATTGTTTAGTCTACTTCAGTTTCACTGCTGGAAAACCAGCAATATTTTGAGATATACACCCAGAATTTTTCTTGCCTGGTTAGTACTTGATAGAGATCAAAGAGTTGTTTAACAATTAAAGTTGATTATGTAATCCAGTTGTTCAGGTAATAAACCAAACAAAATTCTTGAGTATGTTCAAATTTGCTGAAGGTTTGAAATACCTACCCAGGTATTTTTATGGATTCTAGTGCTTTGCTATGAAAAACAATAACACTTTAGGCATTAGTAAGACCTGAAGCAAGGCTCTTACAGACTTGTAGTCAAAACTGAGAATTTTGGATATGTGATGGAAACTGAGGGCGGAGAGGTACGGGCTGGGGTTTTCGTTATTTTTAATTCTAAAAGTGAGCACAAAGTTAACTGCAGTTTTTATTAAAATTGTGTGTGCTCCTTTTTCCCCTGTTCTGAGCATAAAGAATTTGTTCTTTCAATTTTGCTTCATGTGCTTATTTCTTACGTGCTGTTTGTGCATGTTATATGCACTTGTCAAATTTGCATAGCTAGATGACATATTTTTTGCTCTCAGGTTATGTTTTTCACTGTTATTTGATCACTTTTCAGCCATTAAAGAACTGTAATGATAGTCCTTTATTAAGATGTAAATAATAGCTTCAAGGAGAGTGTAATCAAGTCATTTCAATTCAGAAATATGATAATGTTGTCAGGATTCTTCATTAAGTCACATTAACATTGACTACTCCTGTTAAGGAAGAAAGTATGACGGATACTATATTGTAGGGATTCCTTGAAATGTTATAATATTATTCTGGCCTGGACTTTTTTCCTGCAGGTTAGTTTAGTAATTCTGCCTTGAATTACCGCAATAGAAAGTGAAAATAATTGACTGAGTGTGGCTTAGATTTCAGAGTGAATATAATGAGAATTATTCTTGATATTTGTAATTACCTTTCCTGAATGCATTTAAATGTGTTAAATCCGTAGTTAAAGGACTGAAAAAACCCCTCAGATTTTAGTGAACAAGCAAAACCAATATCCTGCAATCTAAGTATGAAGGTGATAAAGGACACTTTAAATTTCATCCATACCTAGACAACAATTTCCTGCCATGAGACTTATATTTTAACGTCTCTTTTGAAAGAGATATGAAATGCAGTAAGGGAGACAATATGAAAATTAGGGAAGATTTTATTTCAGATGTTTACTGTCTTAGTAATTTAGGATGCCCAGAGAGAATGTATGACCTCTGTCATGGGAGGTTTTTAAGAACAATTTAAACACAGGCTTCTTAGATATGGGTGAATTTATTCAGACCAGATTATGTGGTGTATTTAGTCTTTATAGCTGTATCTTCTGTAACTCGCATTGGTTTTAGACAGATAAGTTCAAGAACTAAGATGCAATTAATAGAAGATAAAATGGAGAAGGTAGGTGAAAAGTTGTTTTGGACCAACTGTTTTTAGCATTCAGGCCTTAATCTTTGTGTTGATGTTTTGTCTTTAGTCCTTATCAGAAAATGTGACTTAGGCAGACCTGGCTGGGTGTCAGGGTGTGCGTACAGTGGTATGAAATGTAGCACTCAATATTTATACTAGCAGAAGCTGTGCTTGGCTAATATTGTAGTTTGTTTCCTTAGAAATATCTCTGATAGTAGTAATTTATGTTATGTGTGGTTTGACAACAGTGCTTGATGTTGTCTTGGCCTGCTGGCCCAAGGTTCATGTTCTGAGGATGCAGTAGATTGGTTTGTTTTTTTTTTTCCCCTGTGTGTCTGTTGGTCACTTAAGTGCTTTTAGAGATGCCTTATCACTCAGGAACATCGTTGTGAACTGTAGCTGGTGAAAGAAGTTGGCATGATAATGTCTATGCTGGATCAATCTGAAGGACCATCTGCTCTAGCTGGCTTTCTCCAGCAGTGGCTGAAAGCAGATGTCTGAAGAAAAGCATAAGCACATAGGAGAGAGGTTTGCAGAAGTATTCCTAATATCTGGCCGTCTACAACTGAGCACCTTCCAAGCCCAGAATAATGCTTTTATGCCGAGTACTTCCTGGAGGAGCTTAATCTATTTTGTTCAGTTATATTTTTGAGCCATTTGAACTTTTAGCACCTACAACAACCTGTAATAAGGAGTTCTGTACTTGAGTATGTGTTCTGTGGAAAAGAAGGTACCCTTCTTGTTGGTAGTTTCATTTGTGGTCCTCATGTTCTTGTACTGAAATAGTTTCTTGTACTTCCAGTACTTGTACAGGAAGAGGCAATAAATAGTCATTCCCTAGTTGCTGCCTTCATATCCATCACGGTTTTGTAGACCTATATTCTAGCTTCCCTCAGCTATCTATATTCCAAACTTTTAAAATCCTGTTCTGTTTTGTTTTTCATCATTATGGGATGAGTTTAATTCCTCTGATTACACTTATTCTTCCATGCTGTTTCCATTTCAGCTATGGTATTTCTGAGCCACTGGAACCAGAAGTGTACAAGGTATTTAAGACTTAGTGGCATAGTGGTGGTTTCTGTTTTGTTTTCTGTTCCTTCTATAATTAGTCATGAATTGGGATTTGGGATTTTCGGACTACTACTGAGCAATGAACTAATGCTGTCATAGAAATATTTATTTTAATTCCAAGATGTCATTTTTGTATACATCAGCTAATAGCCCATCATTAATCACAGAAGATGGACTATTTTGAATTGCTTGACATTTTAATTTTGTCTGTTACTTCCTCTGCTGAGCAACTGCTCAGTTTTACAGATCTTTTTATACATCTTTACTCAAATAATTGTTCAGCAGTTGTTGCCATCTCGTGCTTTACTCTTGTCCTAGATCATATGTGAATCAAGTGGCACAAGCCCAAGCACAGATCTCATCAGGATTTCTCTAGAGTCCTCTCTTGCTTGTGGAAACATGTCTGTTTATTCCTGGCCACTGTTTGGTATTTTCTAAGCAAGTCTTTAGAAGGATCATGAGGATCTTCCCTTGTATCCGTTGCCAGCTAAGGGGTTTTTTTAAGAGACTGTGGTGTGAGATCTTGTCAAGTGCAAATCCACAGACTACATCAATGGACTTTCCATTGTCTGCTTGCTTATTGACTCCTTAAAACAAATTAGTAATAGATTTGTGAGATGTGATTTTTCTCTACAAAAGCTATGATTGGTTCTCCCCCAACACATCATATTTATCTTTGGGTTTACTACCTCTGTTCTCTACAGGAGTTTTTAGCAACTTGGCCAGTACAAACATCAGGTGTCCTGTCCAGGCCTTGTTGGCTAGAGTATTGTTGGCATTGCATTAACCACCTTTTTAAGTCTCTGAACTTGAGGCAGTTTTAAGAACAAACTTGCACAGCACCATCAATAGGTTGGACATTTCATCTTTTTGTTTCCTTAAAACTCTAAGTGTTCTGTGTACTGCCAGCTCTCTACTGCTTGTTTTGTCTCCGTTTCCTGACCTCGACTACCTCTACTCCCTTCATGTCG